GAGCACGGCACGCTTAGGTGCAGGATGAGGCAGGTATAATAGGGAGTGCAGGATTAGGGAGGCAATATACGTAAGGGGCAAGATTAGGGAGGCAATGTACGTAAGGGGCAAGATTAGGGAGGCAATGTACGTAAGGTGCAGGATTAGGGAGGCTATGTATGTAAGGGGCAAGATTAGGGAGGCAATGTACGTTAGGTGCAGGATTAGGAAGGCAATGTACGTAAGGTACAGGATTAGGGAGGCAATGTACGTAAGGTGCAGGATTAGGGAGGCAATGTACGTAAGGTGCAGGGTTAGGGAGGCAATGTACGTAAGGTGCAGGATTATGGAGGCAATGTACGTAAGGGGCAGGATTATGGAGGCAATGTACGTAAGGTACAGGATTAGGGAGGCAATGTACGTAAGGTGCAGGATTATGGAGGCTATGTACGTAAGGTGCGGGATTAGGGAGGTATATAATGTGCGTAAGGTGTGGGGTGGAAACTTCAAGAAACACGAAATTTTTTTTATTATCTAGCTTGTCCAAAAAGACGCAACATGAGCTTCATACTTGGTCATCCTTTCTCTATTTCAAATCCTGAATGTTTTTTTTCTGAGATTGAGATCGAATTGATCATTGATTGATATTTTGATCATTGATTATGCCTGAACAATTATCAATTCTGAATATTGCAGTTATAAAAAAAAATTCTCGGACGACATATCTGGGAATAGTTTTATTGCGCTAATCACTTGCGCAGCCATAGAGCAATGAAATAAATAATTATATTTAACAAACAGTTTGAAAAAAAAATGCTTTTCGTTTTACTCTGCTTTATCTGCTTAACACAAAAAAGCGGGGGGAAAATTTGTCATGCCGGTCGCGTATCTGTAGTCTACTTAAATAATTTCAATGTAAATAATTATTCGATTTTACTACCATGTTCCACTGCATGGATTATTATCATCCCTATTTTTATTGGAGTTGCTTGGACTATAAAAGCGTACGAAAAACGAACGCTTAATGGGTCCCGAAGCGGCTTAAGATTAGCATAGTTCTGCCTCGCACCACTGAAAATCTATTGCAGGTTCATGTATGTTTTATGTTTGTTTGTTTCTTGGTTTGTTGCATGTTTAAAGTCTGGCAATATATTGAAGTAATTCTAGCACTAATTGAACATTCCTGCCATAACAAGAGATCAGCAAGGCGATCAGGACATGCATTAACCGTTGCAAGTAACAAGGTTGACGATACTTAGTTAAAATATAAAACGATTTAAATCGCTTTGAAGTTAAACCAAAATTAATTCATTAATGCTTCCTCGAGATTAAAGACATGAATTGAATTAGTTTTTTGATGGTGACACTTCAATTTGAAATTTAAAATGAAGCTTAAACATTTCGAGTGATACATTTTTTTGTGGCTGCCTTCTACGTAAAAGTAGTTTTAATATCCTCAGTGGAATCTTTTCAGTACGCTTATAATTTTTCTTTTCAAAGTATTTCGACACATAAATAACTTTGCTCACTAAATTTTGCGTAGTGTATCAAAATTTCCGAGCGCAACCTCTGAAGCAATATCGTGTTTTACAAGACATATTTTTAAAGAGTACCAGGACTGATATGATTTCTAACAGCAAATCCTCCTCATTCCGGATGTGTGCAATATCTGTTGCACGAGCTCAAGTGTCAAAGCAAGAATATTTTAGCCATTCCAAAAATTTTCAACCGCAGAATACACAAAAAATCTCCCAGAGAAGACTCTTTGGCCGGCATAAACTGGACATAAAAGCTCGCCATCGGATGTTATCGCTGGAAGCGTATGAACAGCGCTTGCGTTACCATATCCACACGGCACTTGGAACCCGAGATCAGCTTGATTACTCGCCCCTGCCCAAACAGGATTTGTTTAAAGAGGCATTCATTGTTTTGTCGGGCCTGAGAGTCGGCACTTTATGTGACGCTTACTATCTCATTGCGAGAACTTTGAGATAAATCCTTAATGTTTGTCAATTAACCGACTGAACACGAGGTGTCTCCAACGTACTCCCGGCAACACGGAGAGCTTGGGTGGTCTACATATTATAGTGTAGCCCAGGTTTTCTGTATCAGCCAAGTTACAGGGCACTAAAGTTCGCCAGCGACATCGATGTCGCGCCAGAGGTGTTGGACTCGGTCTGGATCGCTTACCACATTAAACGTGCTTATAAAACCCGAGAGTCCTGCTTAGTTTGTGTAAGCTCATTGGAACACTTGAATGTCTGGTAAACTCGCGACAAATTGTTCCTGGATGTGAACAAATCTTCTAGAGCAATGTGAGCTTTGAAAAGACTTGAAACTTTCAGCAAAGTTGGAAAGAACGCGAAATAAAATTACAAATCTGAAGTTCTTATATAATCAATATTATATCAATATATTTTAACATTAATTAATTTAACATTCAGACTCACTCTTTAGTAACTGTAAATACATCAATTTGTTTTCACCTGTCCAAAGAATAAATGTAATCATTTCACTCGTATTTATCTCACTCTTATATTGATTCAACTGAAGTTAGATTTTTGTTTACACGGGTATTTTCCTCCCACTAGCATCCAATGACAGAAAAAAACCAGAGTTGAGATATTGAGCTTTTGCCCAGTCAGGTCTTATATTTTGAGTTTGAAATAACCTGTGGCTCAAACGAATCCATTAAAAATTATTATTTCATAATTGCAAAACTAAAATGAAGCTTATTGCAGATGCGGAACCGTTGAATTCCTCGTTACATTGAATACAGTTTTTGATGAGACAACACTGCACTCAACTCTCTTTCTCATGATCTACTGATTTTAGATCCCACTCTCCACTACATATATAAGGCGTGCAGCTTATTTGTCCGGATGGGAAGCAAAGCACGAGATAGAAAAGGCTTTAAAATTACTTGCAGAAGCCGGGGATAAAATTCCTAAAATTTGCAAAACGAGTTTGGGTTAAAACTTGTGATCAGTTTCAAAAATTTGTTCATGAACAGTAAGGTGGCTATAGATGGATAGGCACAGCACGATTGTAACGAGTTACGGATACGATGATTACATTTTTGTTTATTCATCTATTTTTTAACGAGTTCTCAGGAGTGGGTTTGGGCCTAAGATGTAGTGCTACAAGAATTCAAGAATTTGAGCAGCAACAGAGAAATGAACTCAGTTCCTGCACAATTCAATACATGTTCGAGAGTACTCAACCCCTTCATTTATGAGTGGCATTGCATCCTTGACTTCATTAAAAGTATCCGTTGCGCATTTGAAGCATCCAACCAACTCCAACGGAAAGCCAAGGAACATAATTAAAAGGAGGAGAATATTAATTGTACCCGTGTGAAGAATAGAGACGAATGAATATTGAAAACTGGCATATGTAAATTCTACCAATAAACATAGTAATATCTGCCTTCCATTACTAAATTGTCATTGCAGCATACGCTGCAAGTGCATGCTCAGGCAATCAAACTTTGATGACGCTCATATTAAAACTTTGGAGTCTCTTTGACCGTTCATTGTGTCTGAGGGAAATCTTCAGCATACATTTTTTTGCCTCATGATGAGCAAATTCGTGCAATTCAGTGCGGAGATAGCTCTGGTCGAATTCTCTTCTGGCTCTATAGTGACGTCATAACCGTCATAAACGAACTCGACAACATTCCCATCCGACTTGCTTGTACTTAGACGTACTGTTAAACTTAGGAAGCCATGACTACAGCCTAAACTTCTCCATTGTCCATTCAACATCACTGGAATCAACGTTAAACAACAGCTCTCAGATTACTGCTCCAACAGGCAAAAAACCTGGAGTCACTTGCCTTCTGTTATGGAAAGACAATAAATCATTACCACGTGAAAAAAAAATCAGGCCAGATATTTACAGACCCAATTGGAGAGTATTTTTGGGGTATTTTACCTTTTCATTCAATGAGTCTAGTAATTAAATAATCCCCAAGTTCACAATGAGGTCTTCTTCATAACATCTCCCTCAAAGTACGCTAATATGTTGTAGCTCTCTCCCTCCGTAGCTACGGTGGCAAGAAAATGGTGATGCCTCCATTATGCGTCAAAGACTCACGGTTTGCGCCTGCTGCTCATCATCTATACCCTCGTCGTAAAGAACATCAACGAAGGTAGCCAGCGTTGTGAGACATGTGCTCACTCATCAGTCGGACGAGGAGACCCTTGCTGCAAGGGAGTAGAGACCCGGACGAGGAGTAAGTCAGACGAGGAGACCCTGGTAGCAAGGGAGTAAGCACACATGTATCTACCCTCTAAAATTAACACAAGCTAACATAACTCAAGTAAAACAAATCTCGCCTATGCTACACCAGGCGTGTACCTTTACCAAAAAAGTGAAAATGGGCAGGGTGGCCCAGTGGTTAAAGTTCAGAGTACCACGATTGGAGCAGAGAGTCGCGGGTTCGATCCCAGCTCTGTGTGCCAGTTTCTGGTCAGAATCGGCAAGAAGGTCGGGCGGTTAAGCAAAAGCAAAATTGAAGCAGTGAGCTGCGAGTCGAGATCGCAAGAAGCTGTGTATGTTCTGCGATGTTAAGAATCGGCGACAGGCCAAACGGCCTACTAACGCTGAAACCGCTATATTATATTATATTAATACGGCGCAAACTCTGCAGATCCTGCATCTACATCACGGCCTTTCTTCTGGGCCTCTTCTGCTTCAATCCCAAGACCTCCTTCTTTGAAACCTATTCCCCATAACTCATATGTCCAGACTCTGCCTAAGTATGACTAAATCAATTCGGACCAAAATTCACATAGACGATTCAAGTGAATCTATTCTATTCAATTCCGATTGAGAGTTGGTTTAGTCAATGGGCTCACCATTACCCCACCAACGTAAACGAGCATTGTTAGGATACCACATAGGCAACATAGTAATAGAACAATATGATGCGAGGTATAGATATGCATAACTGCCTTTCACCGTTATTTGCTCTTTCGTACTTAGGGTATCTTTTATCTCGTGGAAGCTCTCAATGAGATCAGCTGAGCGGGAGTTTAGTGATAGTCCGCGGTTTTCAAGAATAACCGGGAACTTTAAGCTTCATTAGATGCCTATTGCCTAATGTTCAAATCCGTTATAAGATAACGTTTAAATATGTCTAACAGCATTTCTAAGGATGATTTCAACGGTAAGGACTTTGATTTTAAGTATGAATGAATTATGTACTACCTATTGTTTACATTATTACGTGTTAAATTTTCGATACTAATATCGATAAACAGGCTAACTTGCAGTTACATTACAGCTATACCTACTTTTTATACTATTAATGATTGAGATACTGCAACTGCAATCTAGGTCCTAGGATGTTACTTGTCAACAGAAAAACACATGATAACAGTCAAAACTACGATTTGTAGGTTTTGAATACCGCTTGATCAACATGTGAGCCTTCATTTCAATATCTTAATACCTAATTAAAGCTTGTCACAGTTGTCAGACGAATGAAATCAGTTTTTGTTCCATTAGCTTAGAAAATATCTAAGAGACTAAGTATTTCTATTGAAAGCTTGTGACATGAGACAAAGGTAAACCAAAACTTGGGGAACCCAATATCAATATGACATTGTTAAAATGTTTAGAAAATGCACTCTACTCAACTCAAGTACCTATATGCTTTTAGTAAATAAAATGCATTGTTGTTTTTTACAATGAATTGTAATCCTTGAAAAATGTTTAATAAACCTAATTTGCTTCTAATAGAAGCATCATGGAATTTTGTATGTTCTGAAGTCTGAACTGTTGAGTGAGACAGTTGAGTGAGTGGCCCATAGTGACAAACCACTGATTTTTTTAGAATTGTTCATTTTCAATTTTCCCATCTGCTTACTCAATATTTTAATCAATTTCTTATAAATGATTATGCTGGACTTGCTGGTATCTATCATCTATGATACTTTCTGGTCTGCTTATAGGACTCAAAAATGAACTTAGGGACATCTAAAAAAGTCTCTGAGACTCTTGACTCTCTGCTTTGATACCATGAATGTTAGGTATGACCATGGACTGCTGACTTCTGGAGTTCTGGTCAAGAGTCAAGACCTTTGAATTGGTCATTCAAGCTTTTACTCTTTTACCAGCTTTAAAAAAATTATAAGTTCACATCGCACTCTGCAGCTGAAAAAAAGTTCAAATAATAGATGAATAGGTGTTCACACTTCACAACAATCTTAAGACTTAACCCATTAAAGCCAAGAATTATTTGTGGGTAAATTAAATATTGTTTTCAGGTTGAATACTTCATTTGGTCATTGTTAATCTATCAAAACATTAATTTTACAAAAATTCCAGACAAGTGCCAAAATATGGCCTGGCAACTAAAGTTGCCGTTGCCCGTTAGGCAGTAGGCAGACTAACGCAGTAAGATAACAAGTTTGAACTTCTATGTAATTGTAATGTATGGTAATAATATTGACTAGGGCCAACAAAACTAAATTTGCTATTGGTAAATTGAATTAATGAAACAAATATTTTGAAATGACAAATGATTTATCCATTCAGTATTTAAATCATTGATAAACAGCATGTATTGAAAAGTCTACAAGCACTTACACAGCTAGGGCACTAACTATGGTGGTGGCCCCAGAAAAAGAGCCATCACAATATCAGTTGCAATAAGCGTAAGTGTTGCAGTGTGTGGAGAGTAAGGGATATACTATCAAAGTTGTTAGCAGCATTTTCTTATTAAAAATTACCTGGCGACACATCTTGAAAATGGCTGGCGACACTTTGGGCTAAAAATCCATTTCTTGGCAATGCTGCTTGCACCCTCTGCACCCTGGATTCAGAATCACCTCCATCATACACTGACGCTCTCTCTCATGCAACCCACATTTCATCAACAAGTGCTCCACAGTTTCCTTCTATTCCCCATGACCCCATCACACATACCTAATACATTTATCTTCCCTCCTCGCATTCCACCTATATGTACATCCATTCACACCAAGCGCCCCTGCCCTCACACAAAATAGAAGATCCCCATCTCTACTACCATCATTAGCATGCATGCATTCATGTTTTGGCATTGCTTTTATCTGATGCAGTCATAAAGTGTTCTTTAACTCCATTCCTTGGTTGAAGTTGGTTCTACACCTTCAGCCCATAGTCATTCACTTGCTTATTTATTTCTCTTTTTCATCCCAATCTACCCCAACCGCACCCCATACTGTCACTACCCATTCATGCTTTGGTCCAGCAGGCCCGTAGCACACCCATGCTTCATGCGTACTATGTAAATACTTCAATTATTTTCATTTTATACAACACTAGGCATGTCATTGATTATTTTATTATAAAATTATATGTGCAATCAAAGAATGCATTGATAAGGAGAAGAATTACTGTTTTACTGTTCATAATTTATGAAAGCCCAGAATTGAGAGACTGGTTATTGATGAAACACAATTCTTCAAAATGTTTTAGTTGTATCTCAATTTTTTGTGAAAACTATTGTCTATATTTGCTACATAATGCTCAATGCTCCAATTCATTGTAACCATTTTGAAATTATTTAATTTTGTGCTTTTGCTTCTGTAGTATTCTCTGTTTTGTACTGAAATACTTGACATATTAAAAAATTTGTTTATCTTACAGAAGGACCCCAAGAGTACCACACTGGGGTAATTGCCTTCTTCAAGTCTTTACCAGAGGTAGGAAAAGCAGCTGGATTATTATCCAGTATTATTAAAAATTTGTTTGTACAGTGGAAACCCATATTTCAAACATCCTCCTTCTTGACCAAACCACCTTTCAATCTGTGATTAGAATAATTTAGTCTGGTATACAACAATGCTTTGATGTACAGCAATATACAAAACAGTAGTGGATAATGACCTCCATAAAAGAAAAATCTCCATTGGGTCATAAAAAAGCCCTATTAGACAACTCAATATAGAAATAATTGTTTTCATCCTGGTGTAGGTAAGTACACTATTTGAATACATGGAAGTGATATAGGCCCTACATGAATCTGTTTTTTTTTTTCAATTAATTTTAATGTGGAAGATAGGTTTGCTGTACATGCAGGTTTTTTTGATGTGTTTTACAAACAAACTGCTATACAAATCAAGTTCCTGCATCAATTAAGTTTGTAAGGCTAAGTTCAACTGACTTAGTATCTTTATTATATATGTAGGTATTTTGGACGTAGCTGTCTCAGGCCATGCCGGAACACTGCCTCTGTATATCTACTGCTATCCTTAGCCTTAGGAGACATGTTGTCCTCGCCACCAAGGTATCAGGGGCCAGTCTGTAATTACTGCGCATCTGCCCTCTGTTTGTTGCCTATTTATACTCTATTTGTTGCCTATCTAGTTGAAAATTTCCATTCTAATTTTATCTTTATAATACACTTCTGTTTTTTGAATGATGAATGATTTAGTGATTGAAATGGGAATGCTAAATTTTAACCTAAACATTCACTACTATTTTTTGTTTGGAGTACTATTTGGTTTTTAATAATGTTTGTTTTTAGTTTTCAATTATAAGTCATCAGATAGTAAATAAAAGTAGCTGCCAATCATTGTTTATACTAAATAATGTACCTACATAATTTTTGTATGAGCTAATTAGAACTTGGATATAGTAAGTGTATGCTTAGAATAGAAATCCCCATTCATGATGTTGGATATTAAATTGTGAATATATGAATGCAAGTCTGTCATTGATATTTTTCAGGCTGGCAGAGCATGTGCCCAAATTTTTGACCGAGGAGACTACTACTCTGTACATGGAGAGACTGCCAGGCTTGCTGCAGCTACTGTTTTCCATACAAATGCTGTCATCAAGAAAAGAGGCTCTGGTAATCTTTTAAAATGATTCTTATTGAAATTTGCTCCTTGTCAATTGTAATTCATTGGTTATCAGTTTTTTTTTTCGTTGAAGGAACCAGTATTTTGTTATAAATCTCAAAATCTTTTTCATTTTTTGACATGCACTAAAGTTTTATTATGTATACCTATATGAAACAGATATATAAGCAGCATGATATGTCTGCTGTATAGTTTAATCTTGTCATAATAATTCAATTTGCTCATCAAAGTGGGAAATGCTCTTAGTTATCTAATTATATAACTCATTCCCAGGCCAAAATCAAGTTGACACCGTGTTCCTCAACCAGTCCAACTTTGAAACCTTCATCCGAGAACTGCTCCTGGTGAAGCAGTACAGAGTGAGCATCTACAAACAACAGAATAATAAAAATGACTGGGCTGAGGAATTCAAAGTAAGACATTTATTACTTGAATAGTTGATATGTTTAATATGTTTTCATGAATCTTTTTATTTGTTTACAAAGTATTTGTTGTTATTTTGTCCTTTGAGATAACTGTTTGGTCTTTTGAGATTCTAAATCACTCTCAATTCAAAGCAAAGCTCAGTAATGGCTTCATTGAATCCATTTAATAAAAAAAAACAATTGCATTAAATTATGAAATACTCTCTAGTTTCCTGACATTGGCTTTCATAGGAATTTAAAAATTAAATTTTTAACTCAGAAAGAGAAGTTAATACCGGTACTATGATATATTTAGTCCTGAATTGCAGGAAACAACCTACATATATTGCAATTATTAATTGTAATTTATAAATAATTACTGGTATATTCATGTATGTATGGTCTCAATAATAAATACTGTAATCTATTATTTGTAATCTTTTTTAAATACAGAAAGTTATCGTCTCATCGATGCACAGGAAAACGTTATTAAGTTACAGATATTATTTAGTGAGCTACAAGTTACAGGTATAACTTAGTGAGCTACAAGTTACAGATATTACTTAGTGAGCTACAAGTTACAGATATTTCTTAGTGAGCTACAAGTTACAGATATTTCTTAGTGAGCTACAAGTTACAGACATTACTTAGTGAGCTACAAGTTACAGATATTATTTAGTGAGCTACAAGTTACAGATATAACTTAGTGAGCTAGAACTACATGGTGAAATATGTTATGGCAGTATTTTAGAACATATATTAATGTTTAATCAATGGCACTTTGTGTTGGTAAATTTTACTAGTTAAATTTGGATCTTCTTTAACATTATTCGTTGCAGGCATCTCCAGGCAATCTTAGCCAGCTGGAAGACGTTTTGTTTGGGGGCTCTCAGGAACAGACCAATAATGCAGCCGTCATGGGGGTGAAAATTGCCTCTGATGGCTCTAACAAGGTTTGTATCATGTTCGAATGTGAAAAATTTCAATGATAAGTTATTTATTTTTAATTAAAGTTGTCATTGATTCCTTCATTCCTCTTGTTGATGATTTCACATTTTACCCGATATCCTGAGCATGCATTGTGCTGTAATTTTATAACTTCATTATGATATGGCCACATTCTAAAACCAAGGTGATTTTTAATCCTTAATGTTTAGTACTGTAGTTAATAGTCTTGTTATTTATTCTATATTTTTTGTAGCCAATAAATGTGTAGTTCTGATTGATGTTAAATGAAAAGTTATTAGCTAAAATTGTAAGTGATAAAAGTTCATTTTTTTATTGTCTCGACAGGTTCTGACAAAACGAATAACATTCAGTGCTGATATTTATTTCATCTCTTATCAAAACGTTTTACAAGAATAATAAGCACAGTCTGTATACATGCAAGCAAAAAATACATTCAATGTTATTGTTTAATTCTTGGAAATCTTTCTAACTGCCTGAAAAATAACTACCAACAATAAAATTCTTCTAACCATTAACAACTACGGTATATTTCATCTATGCACAGACTGTAGGTGTTGGTTATATAGACATCACATCCCGGGTGCTGCGAGTTTGCCAGTTTACAGACACAGAAAATTTCAGCAACTTGGAGGCGCTCATCGTACAGCTCGGGCCCAAGGAGTGCCTGCTGCCTCATGGCGAGGCCAAGACTCGGCATGGCGCGGTACGTCCTCTGGAATCCATATGAAACATTGAATGCTTTAAAATTTGGATCTATTTCTTTGCATTAATAAATTACACTGAAAATGCAGGATCTAGACGGGTATTGAAAAATTGTTGTCTTGTTGTTTAGAAATCTTGGGTTTTGTCTTCAATCCCTAAGCAATTCTAATTTATTATGAAATTTTTTATCTTGGGATTCCTTGCATAATGTAGGATAGTTAGTGATCTAGACTAAACTTTATCTTGAATCTAGCGCCGGATTATAGCGTTAAACTGCTCTCATTAGCAAGTATAATTTCAGTACTTCAACTACTGTAAATTATTACTCAAATCTAATAAGAATTTTCGTGAGGAGAATTTCTGAGTTAAATTCTTGTTCACATGCAACACTGGCCTAAAGCTGATGAGCAATTGCGCTCTCATATTTGTATGGCAAGATATCTTTTCTTTTTTCTTCAAGTTCTTGCTAAGCTGTTTACAAATGATTCCTTTACCAGCCCTTTACCATGTAGCTTTCTTTTAATAACATCATCTTTCAGTTGTCATTTGTTATTCGAGAAAATCAGTTACATATGTTGCTTTTCTGTATCATCTTACTAGGTTTTGAAAGACGAGAACTGCAATTGGAGTTGTTCTGCGTTTTGAATACTGCAGGAAATTATGTCAGATCTATAACTAAGATCGAAACGCTCTTATCTAGAACATAATTAGAGTTTCGTCTTGATTTAGATTTCTCATTTTCATTCATGGGTTTCTAGATTACATTGAATTAGTAAAATTTATAAGGGCAACGGTTTTACATTAACCGTGCAGTGCCTTGAGCGCAATGGGGTGCTGGTGACGGAGCGGAAAAAGACAGACTTTAGCGCGAGCGACGCGGCGCAGGATTTGAGCCGCCTCGTGCGGGGCTGGAGCAGCGGATCTGTCGTGGCCAGGCCTGAGATGCAGCACTCACTGGCCACCGGCGCGCTCGGTGCTGCTCTCAAGTACCTTGAGGTAATTAATTAATCTTCATAAAGCAATACTTGATTTCCATCGTGGCCAGACCAGGCTGAAAATTGTCCCGGTTTTTATTGCGAACCGGGACAGAGCCTGTTGTCTCGTCTCGTCTCGGATTAAAAAAAATACCAAACGCAGGAGTCTACCTAGTCCATCGATGTTAAGGACAAATTTCAAGCTTGCCATTAATACCTACTTTAGCAGTCTGATGACCTGTTCTATTATATGGAGCGTTTCAACCAACTCTTAGGTATTACAAAGGTACTCTGGAAGCTTGAGAGATACTTCGTAGTGCAAGAGTAATACGATTTGACACTGGGCGATATAGAAGTTCATTTTCTGTCCGGCCTCTTATATTAATTTGTTTCTTATTTCACTTTTTTGGCCTTCCACTACCTCGCTTCTCACTCCGGCACCTCCGATGACGGGAAGGACTTTTAATGTTATCAAATATCAATCAATCAAAATTTCTCACGTTCGTTATTTTATTTCAATGTTTGATTCAAATATCCAAGTGTTCCTAATTTATAATTATTTTTGGGCTGAGACTCTCTCAATTAAATCGAAAATTCGATCGTCATGGCCTCTGAAGTATTCAATACTTGAGCTTGAGTTGCACGGTGCCTGTCCCGCTATACGTGAGCCATCAACGTATAAAATGAACTACGCTTATCTTATATACTCGTGCTTTGCATCTTGACGTCTGTCTGGATCAGGATATCTTAACGAATATTCTATCTTCATATTAAACTTAATTTTTTCATAAAATAAAGATATTGCAATGAGGTACTTGACTGTGAACTAGATGTAAGTGGTCGCCAAGTTTTCAAACTGCTACATTCTGACGCGTGGATTATAAATGATAAGTACATTTTGAACTGAGTTTGAAACGTACAAATCTTGATCGTTTATGATACGTGTGCCAGCCAACATAGTTGACAATGTTCCAGCTCGTCTGAAATTAACTCGTTGATGTTATTTGAATAATGTAGCTTTCCCATTATATTCATTTCGAGATTGAATGAGCCGTTTATTGCAAAAATTTTGATGCAGTCATCTCGGTCGACTTTGTCTTCAATGAAGTTATTTTGATCTTCGTTTATTTCCCTGTATCGTTTCAACCATTGGTGAAGCTGAATATCTTGCCTAGCAGAGGCACGGTTTTTGCTTGCACGCTTGCCAATACTAGTAATAGTTCTCAAATCTGTGACGAAAGGCAAGAGGAAGAAGTTGTCTTTCTAGCAGTTCCTCTATTATTCACCACGAACAACGATTTGACTGATTATTACTGACAGTCGTTGCATTATTTGTGCGTACTCGATTTTTTGTGCCCAATTGCTTGGATGACCATTTTGTCTTTCTAAGATATTTAGAAACATTTCACCTATAAACACGAACAGATAGTTTATCATCGTAATCACTGAGCATAAAAAGTGCATTCCGAGGGTAAGGAAGACATCAGAGTCAAATAATTTCAAATCAAACGAATTCAATATTTTTTGTATCAGCTACAGTCGCAGAAGCCTCAACGGACGCAATACTCTTATTGAATCAAGTTAAGCCGGTGTTGCTCGGGAAAAATAATCTCAGAGTTTTTAAAATCGCATTATACCATACCCTGTCTCGCCGAATACCATAATCCACATTCGGATTCGGTTAATAATTTCGAAATTGAAAAACTTCATTTAAAGAATGTTTCAATGTCTATCAACATTTACTATTTAACTCGCAATTTAAAATTCAGAGAAAAGTTACATTATATATTAATGGCCAAAATTCTACGTACCAAATTGAAATCACATTTCAATTTCATAATTAACCCATTGATCTAATGGTCTTGAATGCCCTATGATTCCACCTCTCAAAAGTAAATTTTAGAATCAAGAAAAATCCCAATACAATAGCTATCGTGTGTGTGCTTGCCTGAATTCAATTAGCTTTTTAAAGTCCATTGTGCGTTCATTCACTACTGGTAATGTTTGTTTGGCGGTTTGAGCACTGCTGATTGAAATTAGTTTTTCATAGTTGACGGGTGCATCGTGAAAATAATCGGTCAATTTCGATCAGAGCAAAGAAGTGTCGATGGAAACGCGTTTAAGTTGCATTTTTGATGTAGCAAGAAGCGTTCTGAAATCTGCAAAAGACGGAATGTTGAGTGTAAATAAATGCCTGGCTTTCAGACACGACCATGGGTGCAGACTGTGTTATATGAAAACATTGGCTGGAAAACGCCAAATTGAAATTGTGGTTCTAGAAGCTTCTGTACTTATCTTATCCCTGCCATGAGATGATATTGGCCATCCTTTGATACGTATTGTTAATGATATGTCTTCAATCTATCGTAGATCGGTAAAGGCGGTATTAGCCTGCTAGATCGAATTTCGTCAGTCTGGACATGTAAACTGGGATTGCTCCATCAGCCTCCATGGCTGGGTCTAATGATTGGACTCCAACTTTCCAGTATATTCCTTGTCTTCGGTGCTCTAACCCTTAGAAGACAACAGAACCCTTAGAAGAAGTTCTAACCTTCGGTGCATTACAGAATTCCTTGTCTTCGGTGCTCTAACCCTTATTTACCGCTTTTTGGTGAAACATCCATTCAGTTCATTGACTACAAAATTGTAGATCGCGCAAACCTCGTATCAGTTAAATAGGTACCGGTATATCTTCTCGCTTAACTGACGCAGAGAGCAGCAACGGCAAATACGTGTACAAAACTACGCTGCCGGATAAACGAGGCGGCGTAAATGCTACGTCATGTGATGCAAACTACAAGTTAGTGACTGGCAAACATCGGGATGTCTAAACTTGGTCAAGATTATGTCTGACGCAAAATCGTTTTCCCTTGATCGATAAAAAAGTTTCGACTCGTGTTTCTTCTATACCAACTGTCATTGTTCTCAGCATGTACGTGGGCAAAAAAAAAAAAAATCTTATTACGCAATGATACTGTGCGTACCAAGACACAGTAAGGATTATGTATCAGTACTTTACAACATTGTTTTCTTTTGAGAATCGACCAAAGTGTCCGTGCTTTGGTGACATTGAAGTTTGTTTTACAGCGCTGGCAGAAAAATCTCTCATGACGCTCAGAGAGTCCTTGTCATACTCAGAGTAATGTTTTTTGGTCAATTATTTTGGATCAATTCTCCGGTTTTTTTATAGTAAGGTAATGGCAATAATTCATGTATCAATTTGTTTTAAAAGTAAAGTTGACCTCTCTTTGGCTTAAGAGTTATCGAATTCAGAGAAAATTTGTTATGTATTTTGATCGATTAACGTGTTAGTGTGCAATAACTGCTTTGAAATCAAAAATCATAATTTTTTCATGCCTTAGAAGAAAACTTCCTCGTTGCTACGAAGTGAGGTAAGGACGCTAATGTTACCACATGCGTCTATCCCTATGGTATGCTCTCGTTCAAACGTAGTCGGATCTCGCTTCGAACGAGTCGGCGGTTAACTCCCTCCGTACAATGGAGGCTTGGCCGCTTGCCACTGCTGTTGCGCAGACATCTTCGGCTTGTGTGGAAGTCTTTCTTTGACAGTCTAGTTTTTGATCTTCTAAAATCTAGTTTAGGATAATTCGGTTCTACTATATACGATGACTTTAAATAAGGACATGGTTGGCATATTTGTCGTTGACTTTTGGGCTGAAGTAGTGAAGAAACCTTTCGTTGGATCCTTAGTGGCTTGTAAGGAAATTTGTATATTCGTGTTGTCCTAGTGATGATTTGCCTTCATAGCTATTGATGCATTCATCATACTACAGCATTCTATTTTTCATATTCGAGATGGTAATTATTTTGTTGACCATGCTTGTGGGAGTTGTGCTCTATAGTGATAGGTTGATTTTTTTTATCTGAGAACTCGTCGCTATTGTACCAGGGTTTTTTTCTTTGACGTAGCTACTTAGCTAACTTGGCATTATTATTAATTCGTCATTCTATATGAAGTAGTCAAATGAGTTAGTCGTGTTTATTAAACTTAAGAACGAACTATTCTGTTAACGCGTTGAAATTCTGCATCTTGCAAAAAAAAATCTCGATTTATTGAAATTTGAACATCATAAAAAAAGTTTTAATCTCATGGCGCGGGATTAACTCCTATTTATATGAATTGACAGAATACGGCAATAATAATAATGGCATGTTCTTTTTTATAACCATAAATAAACTGTCTGATCATTCAACTTAAGCTCATTCAGCAGTTCATTTTTTTATATCCATTTTCCATTCCTTGATATCCCGTCGTTCAAAAAATCGTGTTAAGTACCTATTCTCAACTTTCTCAAGCATCGATATATAGCATCAAAATAAATTTTTACTATCATCAAGATTAATGCAGCCATTGAATTTCTTGTGATTATATTTTAAATAACTTTTCTCCCGTTATTCAATCCTACTTTTCTGCGTGTTGTTCTCTATGTTGATTATTGAGACCAATACTGAAGTTCTGCATGAAACTTAATAAAAAGTTTCTCACTGTTGCCGGAGAGTAATTGAGATTATATAAGGATTCTATGGCCTAATGTTAGCCTCATATTTCAGCTGACTTCAAACGAAGAGAAAACGGGGCAGTTCAGCTGCAGCGTATATGACCTGAATCAGTTCATGCGGCTGAAGGTCCAGATTGAATATATCCTATCAGGATTATATGGACTAATGTAAGCCTCGTATTTCAGCTGACTTCAAACGAAGGGAACTTCGGGCAGTTCAGCTGCAGCGTGTATGACCTGAACCAGTTCATGCGGCTGGACTCCGCTGCACTAAAGGCCTTGCACGTTGAGACCAACGACAACACAGGCCCCGCAGTTCACAACACTACGCTGCTCTCTGTACTGGACAAATGTCGCACCAGCGCCGGCCACAGAATGATGGCACAGTGGCTCAGGCAGCCGCTGCTTGATATCAACCAGATTGGTAAGTGTACAGTCGTAAAATTATTTGCGTGTTTAAAAGCATCAAAAAGACGTATTCAAGAAATTGATTGAATTATCTATTAGGGTTGTGACGATTGGGTTAATTTTATATCATGAATATTATTCCAGGAAAAGTAAGCTTTGACGTTTCACATGGCGTCATTGAGCCTAAACTTTCGGGGTTACTGGTTACGGTTGTTGCACGTGTCATTTATTAAAGCTCATACAAGAAGGTAAGTGGTTACGGTTTCGGCACAGATGCGTCATTTATTGTACAACTAGGTAACTGTTTTCGGTTACAGATATGTAATTTATTGGAGTCAATGCAAGAAGGTAACTTGGTACTGTTGTGGCGCAGAGGAGCGGCAGGACCTGGTGACGGCGTTCGTGGAGAGCGCGGAGATGCGCAACAGCGTCGCGGAGGTGCACCTGAAGCGCGTGCCTGACCTGCCCAGGATCGCCAGGCGGCTCGCCAAGAAACAAGCAAACCTGCAGGACTGTCACCGGTCCGATATCTTTTTATCTTTCGTTTATTAAATAGAAAAGTCTTCCTGGATTGAATTATATAATACCATTTATAAGTTGTCAGGTCTAATTCTTGGAAAATGCCAGATTATTAGCTTGGTGTTGCATGCTTTGATTAAGCATGAAATTATTTTCTCTACTTGAATTTCTGCACCATTTCATCTGTGATTCCCAAATCATAGTTTACTCTATGTTTCGAGAATCGGTAAACGTACATGAATTTCTAGTGTTAAACTTCAGTAGGTATTGCCTATAGTTGAATGAACGCAAGCTTTAAAGTGACGTATTCAGAGAAGATGCCCACAATTATTCTTATGCGCCGTTCAAACGTCAATGCTCCTTAAAATTGACTAGTGTAAATTAATAGACGTTATCTAATTAGGAGAAGATAAGTTTGATGTACCGATTTATTTGCCGTTTTTATGTTGATACGCGACTACGCGACTCAACATTTGCATTTGTGTGATGAGACAGACTATACCAGTGCGCCGAGGTGCTGCCAGATCTCTGCGAGTCTCTGGCTCGTTATGAAGGACCTCACTGCGCTACCATCTCTGCAGTCTTCATCTCACCAATCCAGGCATGTTGGCTTCGTGCGTTTGGATCCTGTATGCGTTGTCTGTTTTGAACGCAATAATATGGGCTTCATTTAAATGTTTTTTTTTATCTTCCATATTTATGTTGTATCTAAATATTTTGCAGTTCGTTTAGATTAATTGATGGTAAACTCATTACGTGTTATCATGAATAAATAATTTTAACCTCAACAGTAACTTCCTTTGTGAAATTTGCAAGTATTGAAATAGAACGCCTTTACAATTATTACACTATTTCAGGAGAGTGTTGGCGACCTCAGCAAATTCCAGGAGATGATTGAGACGACTGTTGATCTAGATCAGGTCAAGCAAGGCGTTTATGTCATCAAACCGGACTTTGATGAAGAACTTTGCGGTATGTGGGCCTAGAATCCTGTTCCATCTTTCATATTCGACCAAATTTTCTTCAGATCTGTATTTGAATCCTTGTTTTCCGACGGTCTTCATATTTAACAGTGAATTTATGGCGATTAATAATGAAGCTAGCCCAAAATGCGATGGTTCCAACCTATCGGCATATTTCTTGATCTTTATGGGTGTGCATTTTAGAGGATAACTGAAGCTCTCGTGTCTGCTGTTGCATTAGATTTAATGACGTTTGTGGAGGCCTGTGCCTAAAATTAAAACAATATATTTTGATGAAGAGTTTCTTTATCATTAATTAGTAAAATAATGATAAAAAACAACCTTTGATCATAGTGTTTTCCTAATTTAATTTATTAAAATAACCTCTAAACCCTTAATTAGCATAACCTTTTTCTTATGCTTCTTTAAAGCCTAATATAATCGTTCCTTTGTCAGTATCGATTATCGCGCTCTGTGCTCAATCCTTTTTTATGCTACCTCATAATATTTGAAAACGGATTCGTATCTGTATCTGGCGGATTCGATGCGTTGTCTGTACCTGGCATGCGATTTTTTGCCTAATAAATTTGCTGAAAGAAGCAGTTCTGCACAAGGGTTGTAATGTAATTCCTCCATTTGCAAGATAAAATAATTGAACCGTCATCCATTATCCAGCCATCCGGGGAAGCCTGGACACGTTGGAAAGTCAACTAAACAGCGCCCTGCGTGTAGCTGCTGCCGACTTGGGACTCGAGGCTGGCAAAACGATAAAGCTTGAACAAAACGGCCAGTACGGCCACTTCTTCAGAGTCACTTTGAAGGTAGACACTCCTATTAGATGGATTAATAATATTTTATTTGAAATTTTTGGCTCGATCTAAAGGTCTTGTTTTTTCTTAAGGTTGTAGGAATAACCTCCGTAAAGTTATCATTTATTTCGAATTACTGGTATTTCAGCATTTCCTTTTATGCGTGTTGATTTAGTGTATAAATATTGCTAGTCTCTTTGACTCGTTCATCGAACATTGCGCCAACTTATAATAGATCAGGCCTCAAATATTTGTGCATTGTATCTTTCAATTTAATTGCAACTTCATGCAAAAACTATTCTCATCTGTTCAAAATATTGCAATTCTTCGATATCCTTTGTTCATGTATGTCGGTATTCCTATCATACCTGAACTAAACCTATCCCTATCAACTTCTATCATTTCCTCATGATATACCTATCAACTCCTATCATTTCCTCATTATATGTATACCTATTAACTCCTATCATTTCCTCGTTATATACCTATCAACTATCATTTCCTCATTATATACCTATCAACTCCTATCATTCCTCATTATATACCTATCAACTCCTATCATTTCCTCATTATATATACCTATCAACTCCTATCATTCCTCATTATATACCTATCAACTCCTATTATTTCCTCATTATATACCTATCAACTCCTATTATTTCCTCAGGATGAGAAGTCCATCCGCAATAATCGCGCCTACCACACGCTGGACACTAACAAAGCCGGCGTTCGTTTCCGGAATAGCAGAGTCGCTGACATCAGCGCTGAATATTCCACCCTGATGAAGCAGTATGAGAAGCAGCAACATAAAGTTGTTACGGAAATTCTTGCGATTGCCAGTGAGTTCTGGTGCCGACCCTTTAACTTTTGCCATTATTGACTAATATGACGCTCAATCGATAAATCGATTGTTGACATGCATTCTTTTGAATTGTAACTGAATATTCCGAGTCAAGGCCGAAACAATACCGCAATTCAGGAATAAAAGTCACTCTTTGAGTGCGACTAGGAGCGCTATATTGCTCATAATATCTGGTGAGGCTTGAAGCGCTAGAAAATCTATGGGATTGTTGATAATGAGTTGCAAGTTTTACTTAATTTACTTGATGCTCGTAAACCTGGGTTTGACATGATATTCGCAAAAAAGGTGAAGATTTTTAGCTTGTATCTTTAAACATCGCCCTTGTATTTTGTTACTGTCCCAAGTGAATGTTACAAGTTGCAATGTCAATATTAAATTTCTTGCCTTTTACATGCAGCCAATCAGATTGATTTTTCAGGCTGGTAAACGTTACCCACTTAGTTTACTGTCATAATTCCTGTTTTTATCCTATCTGTGTAAACTTGGTGAACTTGACGAGGTATCCTTCATGACCAAACATGTGCCAAGTTATCCGTCAGCAAGATGACTAGGTATTAAAAAAGGTACGTACACTTACTCCAATATCGTTTTTCATTAGAACATGACTTTATGCATGTCGGTAACGCTTGAGTTTCGCCAGGTGGGTATGTGGAGGTGATCCAGAGCCTGTCGTTTGCCCTCACTACCTTGGACTGCATCAGTGCTCTGGCCTCCGCCGCTGTCTCGTCCCTGGTGCCGTACGTGCGACCCCACATGCGTCCTCGGGGGTCGGGCTCCCTTCATCTCGTCCAGTGCAGGCATCCCTGCCTTGAACTGCAGGATGGCGTGTCGTATATTCCTAATGACACCAGCATGGGTGAAGGTGAAACTTGGTCACTGCCTTCTTTCAGTTGGTCCAGTGCAGGCATCCCTGCCTTGAACTGCAGGATGGCGTGTCGTATATTCCTGATGACATCAGCATGGGTGAAGATGAAATTTGGTCATTGCCTTCTTTCAGTTCGTCCAGTGCAGGCATCCCTGCCTGAACTGCAGGTTGGCATGTCGTATATTCATGACATCAGCATGGGTGAAGGTGAGACTTGCTCAGTGCTCACTGCGTTTCAGTTCGTCCAGTGCAGGCATCCCTGCCTCGAATTGCAGGATGTCTGTCACCAACATGAGTGATGGATGGGAGTCGAGGTATTTTTGACCTTTTTAGCGCATTTTCTCATTTATGGAAAAAAATGCCCTATTGTGCTCGCCATGTGCGTCCGTCCGTCTGTCTGTCCGCCCGTGACTTCATGTTTTCGTCGACGAGAAAATGCGCGCTCTGTCACTCACTGCTGTGCAGTACTGACTACTGAGTTGTATTTTTTTAGGAATCTAAATGGTTTGTCCTTTTTTATTATAGCATAAAGGATGATGAAGACTAACGTAGCGATTACAGAAAATCTGGTTGCTATTGCATTTCAACAGTCCCAGGAGTGGTTCTGTGTGAACTCATTCCGTATTCATATCAGTTAGTTACCTATTTGATGATAGCTTTAACCTTTGATTCCTTAAAAGTACCTAATAATAAAATAAATAACATTCCATCACAGTCTTCTGAAAACTTTGCTGCGTTCAGATAATGGTTGCTTCCATATCATCACGGGGCCGAACATGGGTGGCAAGTCCACCTACCTTCGTAGCGTGGCTACGGCTGTGCTCATGGCTCACGTTGGATCGTACGTGCCATGCAATGAGGCCAGCATTCCAATCGTGGACGCCATATTAGGTTAGTCTTGTCACATTCCTTGCCTGTTCAAGCTATTGTACTTCTCGATGTAAGTAACTTTGGAAATATTATTGTATGAAACATTTTATATGTACGGTTTCTCAATAACTATAAGAAACTATTATATGGACCTTGCCGGCTAGAATGGGTATTCATGAATTTAATTTATGTCAAGATTCTGCAAGTTGCTTGCAGTTTTCAATGAGAGTTTAATGTTCTTACATTTTACTTGATAGCTAGACCTTTGTGTATTTTATTCATGCTCGGCGCTTGAAATCATTTCGTGTCATCAGCTCGAGTTGGTGCCGGTGACTGTCAGCAAAAGGGCGTTTCTACTTTCATGGCAGAGATGCTGGAGACTTCAAGTATACTCAAGGTGAGCTTGAATTCCATGTACGAAAAGCCTGTAATAGCAGATGGTTCACAGTCTATTGTTTTGTTTTAAAATATTTTACTTCAGGTGGCTATTTTAAGTAAATGAACTGTTTCTTGATCATTTGTATTAACGAATATTTTAGTAAATTTTAATGTAAACTCTAAATTCCTCTAGCTCCAAAACTTCCTTGGAAATGATTTCATGCTTACACTGGGGTAAACCATCCATACTGTATGATTTTCATCTTTTCCACTTCGACATCATTTAGTTTTTTTTTATGACCGTTGACATATCAACGAAATTTATCTCGGAAGCATTCAGATTTATTTAATTTCATTTTTTGCTATGAATCGAGTCATGGATGGAATCAATGATCGGTTCCTCTCCGAATGTTTGTGTACCTGATGTTGTGCTGTGTGTGATCGATTTATTTTACAATTCATTCAATAAACTTCTAATTTAGGTACTATGTACTTACTACTACGATATTCTTTTGTAATAATTGGGGCTGTTCGGTTGCCGGGTTACCTTACACTGTACATCACTTATTATCATTCAGCGTCGATTCTAGAAATTTTATTAATGCCGATTGGTAATTTGGTTCTTACTATTCCTTGCCTATCACATACGGCTTGGTCATTTTGGTTCAATATTACTTTAACACGCGTCATGAGCCTCTAACGATTGGAACTTCACTCAGATCAGCAAAAGCAGATTCGATGCATTAAATCTTTTCTTTGTGTTTCGGACGACATCACTGATTTCTTTGCTGCAGACTGCAACACGCGACTCTTTGATCATCGTCGATGAGCTGGGTCGTGGTACTTCAACTTACGACGGGTTTGGCCTCGCCTGGGCCATATCTGAGTGAGTGATGGCCGCGAGGATAGACCCTAAGAATTACGTCTTAAATGATGAGCATTAGTTTTAATTTCAGGTGTTATTGATATTATTGCCATATTAACTAACTTAAAGTTATAGTTTAAAAAGGCTTCTGATCGATTTGGAAGAGAAATTTTTTAGTGTTCTATGAAAGTATATCTCTTTTTTCAGACACATTGCTCGGGAAATCAAGTCCTATTGTTTGTTCGCTACACATTTCCATGAAGTGACTGCCTTAGCAGAAGTTCTGCCTGAAACTGTCAGGAACTTCCACGTGGCGGCTGCTACTTCAGAAGACACATTGACCTTATTGTACCAGGTAAAAGGAAATGTTTTTAATTTGCTGATGGGTGCGAAGAAGTAATTTATTTAATTTCTTTTGAGAATCAAAGCAACAGCTTGAAATATAAGGTTCTAACGAAAATCCAACGCACTGTCTTTGTAGGTAATTGTCAGACCTAATTACTACTATTGTCTAATTTTATTGACAGGGGAGTTGAATAAGTTCTGTAGAAGCATTTTTATTCATGCCATTTTCATAGGAAGTAATTATTAATTAATTAAAGTACAGCATCTTGTATTGAGCACAGACAGCACGTTTTATTGTACGAGTATGAATCTCATTTGTAACTACATAAAAGTTGACTCGAATTGCTTGTTGAACGATGAGGTCAATGTGAGAACCTGCAACCAACGGATAGCTTCCATAATCATGATCACATAACTTAAGCCTAAAATTGGCTCAAAACATGCAATGAAAAACGTCAAATGATTGCTGAATGTTTCCGTGCCCTACTCAGCCTCTAAGTTTTGATGTTGGATTTTCATCAGCCGCCACTTACACTTCTTTTGTATTAAGTCCTCTGACATTGTACTCTCTTGCTTCGTATTTTAGATTGGGGTTATGGTATTTGAGATACGGGAAACTACTCTAAACATTTCTCCCACTCACTTGATCCCTTCGACCTTTGTATTTATTTAGTTATGAACTTTCAGAAATATTCTACACAAATACATAGCGATAAGCGCGTTTTTACTCTCTACTTGAGATATAATTTAGACAATCTTTTTTTTCGAACGGAATATGAACTTAAATTTGAAGTTTTATTCGTATTTGGCCTCGTAGCAATTGTGCATAATGGTACAAAATGAAATTTTTGTTTATGCGGTATACAAGATAAGGTTGATTTGACTTTTTAAATTTACTGATCTTTATAGCAGAAAAGGTGTATATATTCGCTCTAATTTTAGCGTTATAAGTTCATTCGGCCCTCCCTTTTTTTCCTTTTTTAATCTGAAATTACTTTGTGTTTTAAATTTTCCCTGAATTCGATCAGGTGCTACCTGGTGCGTGCGACAGAAGCTTTGGAATCCATTGCGCTACAATAGCCCACTTCCCACCTAAGGTTGTTGAGGTAAGTTCGTAGTTGTGCGAGATTTTGGCGTCTTCTTGCTGTGTCTTTTGTTGCTAATTTTAATTTTATATAATTACTGTATTATGAAAAATGATACACCTGGTCAGAACGATCGGGTTCTAAAGGCCGGATCCCTTGTGAATTAAGTCACGAAAAGTACAAGAATCGGCAACAGACCATGGGCCTATTTCTTCAGTGCCGACGCTTCTATTCTATTCTTGTCTTACGATATCTTTTGTTGCTCCTTGGGAAATTTGTTGTACGTATGTGTGTAAACTGTTGATCGTCTCCTGGTGCTGTTCCAGAATGAATAAAAGTAACATTGTTTATGTTTTCAAATTAATCTCTTTGCTGATCAATTAACTTAGATTGAATTTATTACATGAATGATCCAGTTGGTAAATTATTTCTCCAGTATGCTAAACGGAAAGCTGATGAACTAGAAGATAACTTTGCTGCTGGTGACGACGAAGATAATCCTGATGCTGTGGTCAAAAGGAGGAAAGAAAAATCTGTGAGTATTTGTTGAATGGGACTATTAATTTCAGGGAATTTTGGAGCCGTAGACAGACTATGCTCTTTTTAATTATTGTTCCGATATTCCTTCAACAACTTTCTAAATATGATAGATTAAAATGATTTAATTGAACGTCATTCTTTTATTAAATGTATACTTTCTACTCGCAGTTGTGCCGTCAACTTTGTTTTAATCCAAATTTAGCTCTCACCGTCCTTTCTTTTGCATTTCTTTGTCGATTTCATTATGCGGCTGAAAATCAGTACGGTTTCAAATTACCTTTACTACAATATTTCTTGTCTCTCTTCTGTATTGTCGGTTATATTCTCATCTTCCAGTTGTCAAGATATTTTTTTAACATTTAAAGTTCAAATGCACATTCTTGATGCAATAATACGATACGTTGTCTGGAACGGTGGTTGCCCTGTAGTCATTATTTATTCTTGGTTGTTCAGGAAGGAGAAGAGCTCATTAAGGCAACTTTAACGGAAGCATCTGGCTGGAAACTTGACAACATGAGTGACGACGAACTTGAGCAAGCTCTGTGTATTCTGAAATCAAACATTGTGGCCAAGGACAACTCTTACATTAATCATTTGCTTGCAGTATCATATTAATTACGAGGTATTTACTATATATTATTAGGCTGCTAGAATTGCAGAATATTGGTGAAAAAAATCAAGTTTTTCAACGAGTCCGATTGTAGTATCAAAGTGTGTCATCGTTCTGCGCCAACGTAAATTCGCTGGTTAAAATTCGTTCGTATAGAATCTTTATTAAATCTGTCCAAATTTCATTGGTTTTTAACTCCTTCTAAGGTCCACTTTAAACTCATCGCCTGGGATAATCAAAATCTGTTTAAAGTCATTGTGCTCAACTAAATGCAAGTATTTTTTTCAACAGCCATCGACTGTTAACTATTAAATTCAGTTCTTGACAAAATTTGACTTTTTTAGCGAAAAGGACGGTGGTACACTTACTGTCTAATGTCTACAAGTAAATATGTGAGATGTTGAATGCTGGTTGATTATTAATGTCAGCATCGTCATAATAAAAATTTTCATCGCTCGTTTATTAATTGATTTCATTTGGGGTAAGTTTTGATATAAGCATAGGGACAAGAGAGCTTCGTGCATGTCCGTATGATAGAAGATTCTCGAAGTGCAAGGGCCTAAGTTCCGTCGAACGAAGTGTCTTTCCAAGCTCAAAATTTCGCCAGTCTGATCGGATGATACATCCAATTTCTTCCTTGCGCTTGATGATACTTCATATTGGTAAGTACCAATCAATGTAATTTACTTTTGGTCAAGTTTTTTGTGCTTCATAAATGTTTATTTGTATGCGAAGTATGGTTGCAGAGTGGTGCAATCGCCATTACAATTTACAAGATAACGAGAACTAGGTACGTGCTCGGAGTCGGTGCCAGAGCCAGTGCCTGTGTTTAGTCCGACGTATGACTCGATTTTTATTCATGGTCCATGCATATAAAATAAAACTATGAATACATTAGCTCTTGTTGAAAAAAATTCCTGTGGAGGACTGGAGGCGAATGTTTCGTTATTTCTGTAATGAAATTGATCGTTGTGGTTGTGGTATGTGGTTTAGATAGTAGATACTCGAGTAATTCTGCCTTGCAAAATTCTTTTATCATTAGCCTAGTCACTAAGTCATATATATATAATTACCGTAATATGAAAAATTATAGGTAGCCGGTAGGTACACCTGATTAGATTTAGATAGACCGTCAGTAAAAGTTGCATTTGACATCGTTGCATAAAATTTGCCATACCACAGTTACCTAATCTGTGAAATGCTGTTTTTAATTATATTAAATAATCCTGAAATTATAAAAGAATCAAACATACACTGGTAATACAAATGAAATAGGCTAACTGGATCTGCCGCCAGTCTGGCCCGGCCTGGGCAGTGGGCCATGCGCTAGCTACTAGGTTAAGCTATTTTTCCTATAATTGCTATTTGCCAGTGGAAATTGTTCTTTACCTACCACTACGGCACTACCAGATACGGTATTGGTGATACCTGATATAAAATGTTGGGTTAAAATATAATATTGTCCTTGAATAATATGACAGTCTTTGACAGCAATAGAATATTTTTTTTACCATTTTTCATTGTAGTATTTAATATTGATTAGGTATTTCATTCATGGAAAGTGTGAATTTTACACTGTGAAATAATCTTATTCAATTAATGTTTGAGAATTTGAGAAGCAAGGCCATCAATTTGTAAAGGTTATTTAAAAATGTATTCTTGAACTTCTTGCAGCCTAGCCAATATTTATTTTTAAATGAAAAGTTGCTGAAAAGTAGTGCCAAACTGATTAATTATCAGTGCCATTAAGAGTGATTATTGTGGAAAATATCTATTTCACAAGCTGCAAGATATGCATTTGTATAGTTTTAATTCTTTGTTGCGGAGAAAGACTTTTCATTCAATTAATATTTATAACTAGCTCTGCTAGCTGCAAGATTTTATTTAAAAATTTTTGCTTTTGATAACTTGCGTGACAGTCAGGACTCTTGATTGTGATGGTCTGATGGATCTGGATATTAGATGAGAGGCTGCTTTACTTGTCATTGCAACTTGTCTGATTGACTTTTGACAGCAGGATGTAATGTGGGTAGTGGGTAGGGACCTAGGGTGATGCATCAACAGCTACTTATAATATATATTAGGTTGAATGCATAACAATTTTTTATGACATAGTGCACATATTTGAATTTGCCTTTCTGGGAAATCTTGAAGAAGCTATCTGTTATTTTTTAAAAATTTGGCCTGGTATTCCACATTGATTTTGGATGAGGAAAGTTGAATGTAATTTTTTTGGACTGAATCAAGTCAGTGGAAAACTAAATGCAGAATTACACCCTAGTTAATGATAGAATTTTTTTCATTAAATTCTAAGACCAGTTATTTTTGTGAAGTTTCAATATCTTGTTTAATAAATGTTGTGTCCATTAATAGACATGCGGTGCATGCACTCAAAGTTTTTCACCTTCTCCAAAAAAGTAATGTGACTATATAAATTTGTTTTCACAGTATTCAATTATTTCATAAAGACCCATCACTAAAATTAATTACCTACCTACTATTTCAGTGTAGTCATATTTACTGATCAATTGAAAACCTTGAATAACCGCCCACTTGATCTACCATTTCACTAATATTGTACATCACTGAAATATTACTACTTCTGTTTGTTAACTGCTACTTAACAATTTAATGAGCTAACTGTACACAGAGGGGACAAAAGCTAATTTGAAGAAGAGGGAACAAAAGCTAATTTGATTTCAAAAGTTTGCATGATAATATCTTGCAGTAAACTCAATGCAAAACGCTTTGCATAGCTAGAAAAGATCCTTGTATTGTCCATGCTGGATTATTCAAAATGTACCTACCATTTAACCCACTGCCTCATGAACAAAATACTAGTATGGTACCTTACAAACCATCAGATTGGTATTTGGTAGGAATGTACTCTGCTATATGTACTGTTATATTTGACTGAATGACCCCAGGCTTTGCCAAAAAGGCTATGGATTCACTGGATTGACATAGAAAGTGTCAACATCTATTGATTATGAATTGAACATTGCTAAAAAATATTTCACCAAGCTTGGGTTGTTGAATTAGAGATGTAGTGTGGCTGAAAAAATATAATGATTGCCACTAGGTATCTTGATTCTGAATGAGGGGACTTTTGTTGAGGCCAGACATGGATTAGTCTTTTCCATTAATTTCAATGGGAAAATAGGTTCACTTTACAAACACTGCTTTACAATCTGAGTTTCAGCACAAATTAAGTTCTTAGGGCAGGGCTCCATTGTAATATGTTACAATTTATTGCTGTCATGTATGTATGTGTATGAATTGCCGCTGTTATAATTGTGCTGTATATATACTTTGAATGTAAATGATTTTTACTACATTTTTTTCTGCAGCATGTGTGATTGTGAACTTCACCTACAAACATGACTAGCAACAATCTTCACTATGATGATGGTGATCAGGTATGTTGATTTGAAAAATATCAAGTTTGATAGCAGACTAATTGTTTTATGTAAACAATTTGATCTCAAATTTAAGCTAAAAAACACATCCTAAACATATTATTTTAATCCTCGTATAATAGAACAAGGCAATTTAATTTTAGTATTAGTAAAGTCCCTAATTGCTTAACAAAAATGGTCATATTTGCTTGTGATTGTTTCTTGTCAACAATAGGTGCCTGGAATATTTTATTACTATCATCATTATATTTAAACTTTGTTTGAAAATTGGATATGAAAAAAAAAGAAAAGGTTATTGCTATAAATAATTTTCTCGTATCTTTTGAAGAAATGCACTTAGCTATGTGAAATATGTATATAGTACCAAACCTCGTGGCAACTGCTAGTGTAATGTGACAGTTGCAAGATGCATTATTAGATGAAAGAGATGCACTGTTAAGACTTGAGATCTGATTTGGCACTTCATGCTCAGTACCAATTTTATTTAAAATTTAATAAATTTCTGTCTTCAGATGGCAAGAAACCTCATTATCTACCTATATTTTTTCAACACAAGCTTTGTCCCATTAAGCAATAATAATCAAGGCAATTTCTAATGATCAAGACAAGTCTGACAAGATGAACCAGACAATATTGAAACTAGATGATTTCCCAAAGTTCACATTAACATTACAAGACATTTTAGTTTTGCTAAGTAACATTTAAATGATGGGTAAATTTTTAGACATTCTTGTAACATATCCTGTTTCTGTTACTGACAATTTTTGTAATCACTTAATTTATCTGGACTAAGTCTATGAGTCATTCAGGACTAAGCAATTGCTAGATTCTATGCAGTGATAACATCTGCATTCCAATGCATAACCTCTTGCAACCTTATCATTTCCTGATAAGTCGATCAAAAACAAGTTATCTTGCTAACAATATTTAGTGTTTGGTGACTTTGCCTATTTTTTTCTCTTTAGGGTTTGTTATTGTTTTATGAATAAACTGAGCTATCAACAGAATTTTGTTTGGGAATGGTAGCTCAGTTGCACTAGCACGGCTAATGTCAAAAGTCTTGCACAACCCTCCCTTGTTCCCTCCATCCCTCCTCGCACATAAACTTCTGCAGTCCTGATGCAAATGATGTATTGTATAATCAATGTGATCTCATAATTTTTTGGGAATGATGTAGCTTGAAAAAAAAATGTGTGGCTTTAATTAGACGTTTTTGTAAGAAAAACATGGCCTCCAAATGATGACTCATTTTTTTGTGTTTTTAGTCTTGAGGTAAATTTTCAGAGTGTAAGTAATCTAACCTTATCTTTATTGTATTATTCTCAGCTTTAAAAAATGGATAACTCCTCTCTTTCAATTAGAAAGCATATCAAATTTGAATGAAGTCAATATTGGCTGAATTTGGATTCTCATTCTTTAAGGTCAAAAATTCAAAAGAATAATCTTTGAAATAAATTAAGGTACCGGTACAGATCGAGCAACATTCAAATTGAAGAGATGATGCATCATGTAATTGCCATGCCAAAGCTTATATTCTTTAAGGTTGTAGCCAACAGGCACTGCCAATGTTATTGGAGGTTGATACAATATTTTTTAGAAATTTAGGTCTCCCACTTACTGGCCATTAATTTTTGGTCAAGACAAGAGATAGAAGAATTGCCTATTTTTAATTCATACGTAATCAATGTGATACTAACAAACAAAAAGTTTTATGTTGTTTAATTTTTTTATTGCAGCTAAGAAAGTATAATAAAATGATACTAATTTCTTTGTTATAATTGTGTTTTTATGTTTCTTATATTTCTTCCAAGGGTTGTGGCTCCTCTAGAATGCAGCTACAGCTAAAAAATGAAGAACTCTGGGCAGAGAATGCCCAGCTCCGTTCTGACAATGAAGCTTTAAAAGCAAAATATTTTCAAGCTCTTCACACTTTAATGTAGGTTGCTTAAACTACTGTTTGAATTTCTGATCATGTGGGCATTCAGTTCTGATGGAATCAGTTATTTTTCTACCATTCTTTTGCTTTTAGTTTTACACCATTGCAACTGTAGACAGAGTAGTTATAGATGTTGCTGTAATCTTCTGCATTTTCTTCTCTTCTCATTCATTCTTAATTATTTTGTATTGCTAGTTGAAACTTGTTATATATATGACATGCTATTATTTGTGTATTTATGAAGTCTGTAACCCAACTGATGAAATTTCAGCACAAAATAAGCTTCCTCATATGTAGATGAATTTGAAGTTGATGAATTTTTATTATTTTTAATTCTTTTTTGCATTTAGTACGAGCTCATTATATTCATGCTCACATTTTTCATGGTATACTGATGGATTCAGTTTTTTTTTACATTATAATATTCCAAGATGAATGTTAACTCCAAGTGCTTTATCTGAGCCATATCTGATTAAGTTTTTTTTTTTCAGGGGGGACTTTTCAGGTCACAATGACAGTGTGATGATGCTTTGCCAGTCTATGTCAAGTGCCGGCTTGTTTGACAACAAACTTGGACTAGAGCAATCTAACACCATCCAGGACGTCATGCAGCTAGATTACTCAACGCTCTTTGATGTCCTTAATGATATGGAAAAGTCGTCGTCGCCCGACTCTTATGAGTTGACTTCTCGTCCAGAGATCTCAGCTCAGCAGGCAGCTGACTTGGATGCTCCCATGGAGTATTCTAACGAGGCCACGGACGATGATCCTGTGAATCAGATGAAATTTTAGCACCAAAGCACCAGGTTTACTGGCCCTGGAAGAAATTGAGTTACATCAATTCCGTTCAATCCTCACTAGTTGCATTTCATTCCATCAGACTTAAAAGGCTTGAGCTTTGACCTTGAATTTGGCTACAATGTTATCATTGGCCAATATCATGGTACAAATTTTCGAAAAAAAAAAAGAAAAAAAGTGTAATCCTTGTATGGCTTACAGAAGTTCTTGATTTTTTTGTTGGCTAGTTAATTTCCCGGAGAGAAATTTAGCAATGAATCAATTTCACTTTTAAGAGACATCAACCATTCGCTACTATGACAATGCATCTCTGTTTAAATACCAACTTCCTGTTTATTGCCACCTCACTTCTATAACTGTAACTAAATGCGTGCTTGAGCTAGCACCTCTGCATTTAATAAGTAATGCAACAAGAAAAACATGTTCGTAAATTTGCATCCAGTTCAATATGTCGTCAGTTATAAGCGTGCTTGCAGTATTTAAACCACTACATAAATGCCTCCTCATCAGACGTAAATGCAATTGGTTATTGTCTCTACAGAATGTTGTTTTTTATTGTTATAACAGAGACTTAAATTATTTCTTTCAAAATCTCTTTCATCACAAATGTTAGACAGTGGATTGTATGGATTGCAATTGATGTTTCTAAGAATCCTTGGACCAGGGACCTGGTGCGAAGGATTGAAGATATATTTGTATTGTAACGGTTTATGCCCTAAAACGTTACAGGCTCGTGGGCCCTCTGGAGATAAAAGAACTAAGTGTTTTATTCTTTTTATCTGATTTTTATTTCTCTGCATTTATTTAAATTCATGCTTGAATACTTACAAGTCATTAAAAATTGTACGGATTTAGGTAATTGTTAAAAAAATGTATGCATTTTATTCTAGAGTGTGTGGAGTTATCTCATTATTGTCTTGATTGCAACTGGTGATGTTTGCTTAAAGTAATTTCTGTTTTGTTCTTACTGATGATTATTTTATTAAAATTTATATTGTCTTTGAAATAGATCTTCACAAAGCTAATTTTTTGAGAATTTGGAGCAGAGGAGGCTTGATAACACTTTATTTAATTATGGTCTTGCAGCGTGCTAGTTGAACTGCAGAACTGATTTCATGTTGCACGTTTTAAATTTTCAAAATTTAAAATAACAATATTTTAATGTTTGTTTTCATTGATATTAGTGTAGACACTCAATGTTAAAGTAGCGTTTGAATTCTATTCGATCAAATCTCTTTATATAGTCTTCTAAAAATCACTTGTCAACGAGGTAACCAGCTGAAACCCTTCTTAAATATTTTGAGACTGTAGTAACCTAGATAATGTTGAAATCAAAATGAATCGAGGAATATGATGCAATGTTTGATTTCTTTTATTGTTTATGCTTTTATTGCCTTTTAAAAATTAGTATATTGAAATCAATGGTTACTCCTAAAATATTAAACTTGGTCCTTTAAGAGTTGATTTCTAATTTTTTAATGACAATTATTGAGGGGCAATCTTCCATACTGTTCTCTGAGAACCTAGGTTTTTGAACTGTAAAACTTCTTTGTAAGAGGCTACGTTTTAATGTAGACATATGGCGATCATCAATACTTTCTCCTTGTTATTTGCAAAATTTTCCTACACTTCCAAGCTTCTAAAATCATAATCAATGAAATATTTTTAACAACTTGTTAACTAGCACTTATAATATCGCTTGCTCGCTAATTATTGTAGTGTCACTTCATGCTTTGATTGTTGTTGCAGAACGTAAGTCAAGACGCATTAATCACTTCAAACTGGACGATAATTAGAGTTCAAGAATGCTTTCACTAGTTGGGAACCTTATGGTTTGCACGGATACGACGTGCATTTTCTTGAAATGTTTTTATTCTATTTTGCATTTCGGTCATTGCACGGGCTCTTTGCTTTGTATTAATTTTTATTCCTTGTTTGTTGTTGCTATAATGTAATCTTTAAATGCCTTCTGCATACTGGGTCATTTCGAGTTGCTATTAGATTGTTCAAGAAATATAATGTGCAAAACGTAATTTATTTTGAAATCCTGCTATCAAACTTTCTACATAGTCCTTTCTAGTTCGAATCAATTTAATTCCTAGTCACATATTTGCATGCCGCGCTGTAGCATCGAATAAAGTAGCCAAGTTTAATTCAAATTAGACGGAGTAGTTCGCATCATCAGATAAATCGGGACCTAAGAAGGCGTGTTGGAAAATATGAGGGACTACCTAGTCTAAATGATCAACCAGGACCCCAGGCTTTGTAGAGAATATTAGTTTTACAACCCAATAAATCCGTTTGAAGCTTCGTGACAGCTTCTAGTGGAGAGAGCCGGGCAGAACTGCTGCAGCATTTTTTATGTTGTCCTCAACGTCTTAAGTCTATATGTACTAATTCAAGGGAAACGAATGAACTCGAACAGATTGTGATTTTTACTGTTTACAACGGAACCTGTACATCCGCAAAAGAAGCGATGAGTTAAGTTTCTAACGCCCTAGTATAGGTAACGGTTACCGTACTCGGCAAAGAATGAATTACACAATCCTCTTTACATAACATTTCGAAGGGTACAAATATTTGCCGGTACGAATTTGGATACGTAAACTCAGAAATGTGAAAACATGGAAATGGTCAAGTAAATGCAGTTAATGAGCCTGAACAATCGTGCGGCGCAACTGGTCTCCAACAATACCCAAGATGAAAAAAATGCACAAGAAGTTACAATTCTCGAAATTTCCATCTTCAGACAAGAGCGTATCAACCTTGGTATCATTGGAAAAATGCTCGTACTGGCATCGCAAAAAGTGAGCTCCGACAAATATTTTCCTTAAAGATATTTTTTTCTTCGGTTACGTCAAGAATTAAATTATACTTCCATTCAAATATATATCTTATCCGAGTCCAATTGTTTTATAACTGGATCGTTAATGAATTGAAAAGCAAGTGACGTTCCGAGAAAGTAAAGCATTTCCTAATATATGCGAACGAATTTCAGAGCCAATGCTGTAAACTGAGAAAAACGCTTTATTGAATAAGGTACATGACGAGTTTTGCAGCAGATAAGTCAAGAGCCGACATCAAGGTAGTAGTTGAAATGCATCGATGAAAAACCTCCATAAAAAGCTGACTCAACATAAAAAAAAAATCAGAAAAATCTATTAACAGACACCACCAAATCAGAGAAGAAGCATGTTCAATGTAACTGTAAGTCACTAAGTTACTCTCCCGATAAATTTTTTTGATTCCGAGGACTCCATAAATATTCTAGGGTCAGGGATGTTTGCCACTGGTTTTATGAGGTATAGCTCATTCAAGTTCAAATGAATGGCGCAAGATATTAAGGTTCTTATGAATAATACATCTTGTGAAGCATTAGTCAGAACTTGTAGGAAGGGGTGTCCCATGAATGAAATGCGCGAGTGAAATCAAAGGTTTCAAAATGGTGTGGAAGGAAGAAAATCTACGAAGTAAAATGCATGAAATTTGTTTTTAATCCAACATTTAGAAATGACAACGATGCTGTAGGGAACAGACTCCAGAACACCGAGATTTTCTTGCATGCAGATCAGGAATTAAAACCAGATTCGCACGAACGATTATAGCCACACTCAAACAGGCAGGAATGGGTTTAGGTAAACAGAGTCCGAACGTTCGTTCAGTGAGAGTAATTGTAAATTTTTACAAAACTGACAAATACATGCGTTAAGGGAAATGAACTCTAAACTTGTTTAAAAAGTTCAAATTTAATTGACGATATCTTTCTAGAATCCATAACGGAAAATTTCTAACCAAAATCACTGCCATGCAAATAAGAAAAATGCGTTTCGTGCACACGTAACTATTGACTTGGATCATACACAGGGAGATACCTAAGCCATAAAAGGTTTTAACAACTTCAAAACTTCATTTAAACAGCTTGGGATGCTAATTTTCATCGTTCATGCGGAGCAGGTTTTACAGACACACACCGACTAAACGCTACGTACACACGGGTTGTCCAGAATTGCAAATTTCATTTCTTATTCGTATAAATAAAACACCAAACATCTCCTTATTCTCGCTCCAAATTTTGTCGTTTCTATAGGTCAACGTCACCTCCTGAATCAATTATTGATGTTGAAATTCCAGTTGCTTTCGTGAGAGAACTTCTTAAATAATTACTAAGCTCGTGAAAGATCTTTCGCGATCAATCTATCCGAAAGATATCGCTTGCGTTCTAGATCCTAGGACACTTCCTTCAAAGCTAACCAGAAATGTTAGTACAAATTCTTCCAATTGCACGAGTACGACTTAGATCGAATATAGCACGAGCACGCCTAAAGGTTATGATATTGTATACCAAAATAGTCGTCTGTTTAGATCCATAATAACTTTCATCCCTTTATACAATAGAGCAATATTATTTACAAGAATCTGTCCCCTTAAACAGACTCGGAACTGTAGTTTTCATATTTTAAATAAAGAAGCACACAAACGAAATAGACATCGTATTGCACGAGTGCAAAGATTTATGCTCTGTGTAGAATAATCCTAGAAAATTTTTCAGTTATTTGAGCCGCAACTCATAGGTTTTTGCTTTAGAAAAAGTTATCTCCGTACAGAAAAATAATTTCAAATATATTGCAATGTTATAGGAAGTAAGAAACTAGCTCAACGAGTTGATAGCATAGCGATAACAGATATGAACAAAGGCAACAGCTGATGAGCGTGACATAAAATGTAACTTATATTGCATACATTTCAAATTTCGGTTTATTATTAACACAAAACAGTGAGCGTCTTAAAGTGCACATCGCACAAATTCTATATTATTCGTCACTAAACGCACTAGCCATCAAACTTTGATTCTATGTACACCTCAGCCTCGAGACCTAACAGATAGATTCAGCCAAGCATCTTTATTAGATTTGAGGCTAGCAACACTGAAAATAACTTGATGCACGCATGATAGAATTAGCAACAACCCTGCAAAAAAGCTGCCGAAAATCTTTTTAAAGCTTTTACTTCGATCACGCGAATTCTTTCCATTGTTTTGGCCCAGAAATTAGTGCCTCGATAATAGTAAAATTATTCCCGTTTGCTCAAATATAATCATGCATACGAACAGCATAGAGGGAACACTCATTTGGATAGTTAAGATTATAACTATTATAATTATTATTAGAATAGATAGTAAACAACAATAACCTACGGCACGAGGAATAACAGTTTGTCCAGCAACAGAATCTAACACTGTCTCCCTCCTGAAGGCCTTCTTTACATAGGCGTTTGGTTCGAGTCGCTGAAGCCTCTACTTGACACCACAAACTTGACTATCCATGGAGACACTGCAATCTTAATTAACACCGGTATAGAGTTGACTGCCTACTGAGCAAGCAAAGTTCAACTTCATTAACGACCGTGACTCTGATTGATCAGGTTAGACGTACAAGTGAAACTCATGAAATCAAACGTCATGTGGAGAGAGGATCAATGATCTTTAATTACGTATCACTGGCATGTGGTAGTGGTGAGGCACGCGACTCGAAACCAAGGCCTATACTGCAGATGGTTTGGCTTCTTCCCTTTCAGGGCAGACAAATTACAAGGAGAGCAAGTCTAGCTTCCAAAGCTGCAGTGAAGGATATGTGTATTGAAGTTTCTGTGTTGAGCAGGTAGTAGGATGGAGAGTTAAACTCAAGTAGCAAAATTAGCAATAGAAAAATGTGTAGAAAAGTGTTTCGGGTTGAAAAAGTCCATATAAGGTTCTGTTGAAAATTGGACAATTTTTACAACTGGGATTTGAGCCAAGAACCCCGAACTTATATAGAAGTAAGAAAAACAAAATAGACATGAAAACAGTCTACACAAAGCTCGTCTCAACGTTTCATTTTGAAATCAAAATGTAGACAAATGAATTTAAGCGAGTCGAAAAAAATTAATTTTAGAAGAATTCATTTACAATGTAATGACATCCCCAAACGATTTTTGAGAATTTTTTTTAAGAACAAAACAGACCCAGACATTAAACGTTATTTTTTCTCATTTTTCCAATCTTCTTCGAAGCAGACATCACTAGTACAAAAATCACGAACCAAATATCTTCATCCATCAAACTTTTTACCGGACGTAGTTCGAAAAAACTTTATAAAATAGTCACGAAAATCACTGAAATTACCACCGGTAACGTCAACTAAACCTTATGCAATAGGCTTCTCATAATTTACATTGTTAGTAAAAAATATACAAGGCAGGCAGAACGGATTCAAACCGTTAATTTAAATCTGTCGAGCAAAAATAAATCAAGGAGCGTCCACACGTGAAAATCTCTATACTATTTTGCGTGGTATCGTAACGGAACACTCGACCAGAGAGTGGCGAGTCGTTCACATGTCGTCTCCTCCGACGATGAGAGGAGACAAAGAGCACAGGTCATGTACAGCCAGGGTACAAATACATCAGAGACTTGCTACTACGCCTAAAAGTCAAAGCAAGATTCCAATTTGAAATTTCGCAAAAAAAATATTTCTTGAGTTTACTCTATGCAAGAAAATCTAAGAATGCAAAGACACTTGGGAGAAGTAAAATACCTCTGACGATACGACAATCGTACAAACCATTGCGTGTCGCAATGTACCACAAAGCAACGACCTGTTTTCATTAAAATTTGTTTAGAAATAATTTTCTGCAAGTCATGGGTAAACCAATACAAGCATTCTCATTGATTCAGTAAAATGACCCAATAAAATAAATTCTTGGTTCTCACCAATAAGAGGTTTCTTTATTCGTTTCCAGTTATTTTCGAATCTAAGAATGCTTCCAGAGCATTGACTTTGTAATTTATTACTAATAACTTAACGTTCGCATTCAAGTGATAATGATATTTGATCAGATGATTCGCAACATGCAACGTAGTTGACTTAATAACTTTTACATACGTCAATGAAAAATTACTTTGGTATTAAATTTTAAATCTTGACCTCTATTGTTATCTAAATTCTTCATTTAAGTCTTTATAAATTTCGAATAACTCGACACAATTACACTCGAACCCCGGGGACACGCATTGATTATTAAACAGGGCCATTCCTCGGCCGCGGCTGACTGTTCATTTCTTTCTGCTTTCAATTCTCTAATCTTCATTATAGTACAATTTAAAGTTGTACTTCATTAAATCCTAATGATAGGCGAATTCATAAATATATTTAATGAACTGACAAAGCTCGCATACTCGTGATTATAAAATTCATGGGTTCCAATCCCCGGCACATTCCAATGCATTCACTACACGAACATCCTAACCAATAACATAGCAGATAAATGTCTGCCGAGTGTCCCTGAAGAGTGTGAAAGATTTTGATGATCCGTGCGAGGAGGGGGGCGAGGCTATGGCTCTTCATTGTGCTCATCGAATGTCGGAAATGTTGGCCTTGGACCCGAAGATCCTGACGAGCTCCATCTCGTAGTCGTCGATGTTCCTCTTCATGAGCTCCATGCAGGGGCCCAACAGCCGCTCGAACGCCTTCACGTCCAAGACTAAAACGAGAAAAAATTTATCAGCGTTCGGTCTGTTTCATTCATGCCTATAATGACAATAGAGTTCTGCTACTAATTCTACTAAAACACCGCAGAACATAAGACCAGTTAAATAATTACCTATTGGAATTGTTTTACAATTTGTTAAAAAAAGACAGTGAACCAAGCCACAAGACATTAACAAAGTTATTAAATCACGCTGAAAACAGGAAGGAATTTAATGAGAAACAATTGCTGCGCGAGGTTCAGAAAAAACTGCACCTGCATGCGAAACTCTGAAAGTGAGTGTTCTAATTCTGATGTTTACATTCACAGCTTATTTCTGAGCGAACCTTAACTATTACAGTAATTCGGCGTCTACTGAGAGACTCAAACTCTCAAAGTAAGGAAATATATTCCAGAAGTTTCGCTGAAGCACTTGGCAGTAATATGTGAGGGGAAGCAACTCTCAAGTGACCTTCACAGGCATTCACAAGGCAATAAAAATTGAAACCTAAAAGTTGAACAAATAAAGACTTCAAAATAACGGTCAATTATTATTACGCTGAATAAAGGTTTTAAATGCCTGAATGTACACGTACAAATGACGCATATGAACCATTTTCAATACTGCGGTAACAACGCCCGAGTCTAGAGGCTAATTTCTGAGCAGCAGGACATTCATTAAAATTATTGAAGAGTTCGGAACATGTGCAAGACTAAGGCGCCAGACGCCGATCACTCACAGGCTAGTCTGACGTTACCGACGGCGTAAGCGGACGCCGCGCGAGGCTTCTTGGTCACGAGCGCCAACTCTCCGAAGAACCCTCCCACAGAAAGGCGGCTGATCTGCTCGTGAAGGCATATATAAGTATTTGTTATTTTGTTGAAATCTGTTAAAACAAAATAACAAATCCACTAATTGGAAAATAACTAGTACTTATTTCTTCCAGAGAATTCCAAATACTGCGTAAAGAATATAGACAAATACTTCCCAACAATTTAATTAGGACAAGACAACGGCTATGAACGAGTTAGTAATAGACTCGAGGAAGGAAATATAGTATGCAATATCCTTTCCTTCTGAAGATGTTTTCCTTAAAAGCGACGAATAAACAATCTCACAGGCAGTCAGGCACGGAATATTGATGAATATCCCTCACCTCCTTCTCATCCCTTCCAGTGATCATTGTGATCCCTCACCTCCTTCTCATCCCTGCCAGTGATCATTGTGATCCCTCACCTCCTTCTCATCCCTGCCAGTGATCATTGTGATCCCTCACCTCCTTCTCATCCCTGCCAGTGATCATTGTGATCCCTCACCTCCTTCTCATCCCTGCCAGTGA